TTATTATCTTCCACAAATCAGTCCCTGGGAAGACCAATCAACTCCAAGAGCAAGATGGTTAATGCAATACCTTGGGGCTATAGAGTCATTCTGGGGGTGATGGATTTATGTTCTCCTTGGCTTCCTACAAAAGACTAAGCCATCAGTGAAAATCCTTCACATTTCCCATCTAGCTTCTTGGCTTCCACTCCTACAAAAGAGGAGCTTGAACAGCTCCAAGGATCCTAGGTAAGCCCCTGGGATTTAATATCATCCGTGGGTGGGAGGCCCTTTTTATTTCAGGGTTGAGGGTAAGCAAGAGGCCTTTAGATTTTATTTTATTTTTTATTTTTTTTAAACATATTTTTTAAAGACTTTATTTATTTATTTGACAGACAGAGATCACAAGTAGGTTGAGAAGCAGGTGGAGAGAGAGACACAGGCTCCCTGCTGAGCAGAGAGCCCGATGCAGGGCTCAATCCCGGGACCCTGGGATCACGACCTGAGCCGAAGGCAGAGGTTTTAACCCACTGAGCCACCCAGGCGCCCCGAGGCCTTTAGATTTTAGAGGGATATGAGTTCTTCTGTAAGACGGTACTATTAGAAGTGTTTTTATATTTTCTAGCTAGATTTTTATAAAAATTGATTTTTGCCCAAGTAGAACTGTGACTTTGGTTTCACAATTTATATGGCCGATTTCATGGACTCTTGAAAGAGTATTCTTTTTCCAAGAGTTAAAAAAAAAAAAATCCTTCAGGAACGTCCATGGCCTATCTTCCACACCCTGAGCCCTCTTCTTATAGTACCTTGTAAGAGCCAGGGAGTTTCCCGGCCTGTCATCAACCACACCCCGTGATGATCTGCTCTGTTTGTAACTGCCTGTTGAACTATCTCTCTGGCTCTCTCCCTCCCTGACACCATATCTACACTGTACTTAATTATATGCAGAGTGAGTCAGTTTGCCTAGTGTGAGGGTCCAAGACCAGGTCTATACCCTCACACTGCATATGATGTAGAGCACAAGATTCTGGAGTGAAATGATGTGGAAATGAAACCAGCCCTCCCTCCTTAACTGACCTTGGAAAGTTCCTTAAGCTCTCTGCTCCAGCTTCATCTGTCTAAAATGCAGGAATAATAGTGGCACCTACCTCTATAGGGACTCAGGAGAGCGCTTAGTGTAAAGTAAGTGCTCAGCTGATCTCAGTAGTCACGGCGCTGTTAGAGACTGAACAAACCAAAGAAAGGAGGAAGTTGCCATCAAATCCTGAGGTACCTTAAAGAAAACAATATTTTATTGACTTTCTTCCTCAGCCCCATAATGGATGGTCTGTTTTCATGGTCAGCTGAGAACATAAGTCCAAATTCCCACCAAGTACAGGAACATCCTTTACTGTATCCCAAATTAATAGATTTTGAGCCTCTGTTTGAGTGCTAGCTTCAAATGGGATGGGATGCTCATGCCCCAACGAGCTGTGCCATTCTGTTCTGGAAGGGCCTGGCTAGAGTTTTTTCTCTCCTAAAAGGACCCAAAACCAATCTCCTTGTAGCCTCTATGTCTCACTCTGTTCCGTGGAAATTCAGAAAATTGAGTCCCATAATCCCTGTTCCTTAGGAAGGTTTTGGATTCATTCACTCCACAAATACTCATTAAGCAACTGTTAGGTGCCAGTCACGTTAACACTGAGAAGCAGTCCTTGTCCTCATGGATCCTGTGGTGGGGAGGTAGGGGAGACCCGTTAGCAGTCATGGAAATACGTACCATCACAGTTTGTTAGAAATATTTTGCGAGTGCCATGGAGAGGAAAACAGGAGAAATTAATTTAAGCACCAGTAGTAAAGAAGGCTAGTATAAGGAAAGTGACTTGTAAGCTGATACCAGGCCCACTGGTGGGTTTTGGGGGCAGGGGGCGGTTAAGATTGTGCGTAGAGAGAGCTAGAGTGTGGTTGGAATGGAAAGAGATTGACAGGATTAGAGGAGCAGGCTAGGGGAGGATCTTTGTGTGTATAATTAGGGAGTCTGAATTTTATTCCAAGTACAAAGAGACCGCTGAAAGGTTTTAAGCAGGGGAGTGTCCTTATCCATTTTATATTGAAAAAGATAACTGGCTCTTGTATAGAAGAGAGATTAGAAGAGAATGAATGCGATGCTGGTTCAAGGCAGCTGATAATGATGAATTAATTAGAATGGTCACCATAGGGGCAAAAAGGAAGCAGATTTGAGAAGTACGTTAGAGGTAGACTCCAGAGGACTTGGTGGTGGATTACATATGGCAGGTGAGAGAGGGATGTAGCTGGTGGGTAGAGAGTAAGCATTCTGTGTGGTTAGCCTCCCGGCATCCTTTCTAGTTCAACAGTGGTCACCCATCAGCAATGAAGTATTTCCAGTCTTACACCTAGCACATTTTAGTCAGGTGGTCAGAGCTACCATCTACTAAGAGGGAAAACTAGAAGGAAAGTGACTTGCAAAATGGTTGTTGGATCAAGAGTTTGAATTAGCTAATGCAGATGGTAACTTGGCAATTGGATACAGCAGACTAGGCTGGGAATTTTCAGCACCTTGTGGCATTTAAAGCTATGGGAGTATATACATTGTCACCTAGACCCTAAGTGTGCATGTGGGAATTGGACACAGGACTGAGCCATAGAGGTGAGTAGAATAACCAAGAGATGGGAAAGTGGGCCCCAGCAGCAGGAGAAAGGCCAGAAAATGGGTCATAGAAGTTTAGTTCTGGTGATGGGGAGGGCTGCCAGGGTGGAGTGGCTCATGAAGATGGTGTAGGTTGAGATTACAGAGGTCATAGGCAGAGACAACTTCTCTGATACACTTGCTGTGGGAAGAGTACCGAAAGGGCTGGTGGAAAGTGGAGGGGCTCTTGTGGTCAAGACAAATCCATCTTTTCCTCCTTGTCTCATCCTAAATATTTGCCCAGTTCATTCAGCCATTCTATATATGATGGTATTTCCAGAAGATTCCATAACTTGTACACAGCTGTGTTTTCCCCCAGAATAGGATACTTCACCAAAATGTGTTCTGATTCACCAGGGTGGGCCTGTTGCTTTCCTCGTAGTAAAAACTCTAATGACAGGGCGCCTGGGTGGCTCAGTGGGTTAAAGCCTCTGCCTTCGGCTCAGGTCATGATCCCAGGGTCCTGGGATCGAGCCCCATATCGGGCTCTCTGCTCGGCAGGGAGCCTGCTTCCTCCTCTCTCTCTCTCTGCCTGCCTCTCTGCCTACTTGTGATCTCTATCTGACAAATAAATAAATAAAATCTTTAAAAAAAAAAAAAACAACTCTAATGACAGATGCAGCTAAACCCGGCAGTTTGGGCAGCCGCGCCCTCTATTGGCTCATTCTGAAACTGCAGTCAAATCCAGTTCCTTTGCATTGGTGTCAAGTCCCCCACTCCATACCTACTTGTGCACAATTATAATCTAGAAGAACCACAGATCAGAAGCAGGAGTAGCCCAGGAGCTCTGGATAGAGAAGCTCTGAACTCATAGAGATGGAAGACATCTCCAGGCTAAGCACACAAGGCAGGCTTTTATGATTCCCATTCAACAGCTGAGAAGCTGAAATTCAGGCACAGCACCATTTTAATGGCAGAAACGGAACTCGAGAACCTCATTCTGTGTCCTACTATAAGCTGTGAGAGACATACTGTATTTCTTTTGCATGCTTTTGAATGTTATTTGCAGATGAAAAATAGAAAGTGCAAGTTTATGTGTCATATACTATTGTTTGGAAGCATCTAAAAAAACCCAGATAATAGAGAATCAGTCATTCCTTCTTTCTTTCATTCGCCAAATATTATTTGAACGTGTATGTGACTTAAGTTTGTGACCCTGGGGAGCTGGGTTCCCTTTGGACAGTTTTAAGCAGAGGAGTGTAATAACCTGCTGTGTTTGAACAGGAACATTCTAGCTGCTCTGTAGTGAGCCAGAGAGGGGCTGAAGCAAGAACAGCAAGAGTTCTTTTGTAGAACTCCAGGCAAGAGAGGATTTTGTAGACAGACCAGTAGAGGGACACCCACGTGGCTCAGTTGGTCAAGTGTCTGCCTTTGGCTCAAGTCATGATCCCAGGGTTCTGGGATTGAACCCCATGTCTGGCTTCCTTCTTAGTGGGGAGTCTGCTTCTCCTTCATTCTCTGCCCCTCTCCCTGCTTTTGTGTGCGCTGTCTCTCTCTCTCTGACAAATAAATAAAATCCTTGAAAAGGAAGGAAGGTGGGGTGGGGGGAGACCAATAGAATTTTTATGAGGACTGAATGCTGGTTGTGAGAGGAGTAGTCAAGGACACCAGGTCATTGGCTGAAACAAAGAATGAAGTTGTAGTTATCTGAGATGAGGAAGTCCACAAGAACAGACAGAGGTCACAGGGGTGGGCTCAGTGCTGCACGTGTAAGCTCTGACCCACCTGTTGGACATCCCACAACTGGTGATTGGCTAGGAGAGCGGGAGTTAAGAGGTGGTGCTCGAGATGCGGACTGGAGAATTATCATTACATAGATGGTATTTAGACGATCCAGTAGGGGGAGATGAGATAAGATGAGCTAACTAAGGGGAGGGTTAGATGAGAGAGATAAGAAACTCAAGGATGGAGCCCTGTGGCACTCCCCTAGAGGTTTAGGAGATAAGAAGAAAAGGAATCAGGTAGAGAGGAAACTAGTAAAGCTTGGTGTCGTGGAAACCAAACGAAGAAAACAGATTGAGGGGCGCCTGGGTGGCTCAGTCAGTTGAACATCTGCCTTTGGCTCAGATCATGATCCCCGGGTGCTGGGATTGAGCCCCGCATCGGGCTCCCAGCTCAGCAGGGCATCTGCTTATGCGCTTATGTGCCTGCTCGCTCTACGTCAGATAAATAAAATCTTTAAAAAAAAAAAAAGTTTGAGAGCATAATCATTTGTTTCCAAATGCTGCAGATAGGTTGAATCAGATGAGTATGAGACCCAACCATTGAGTATAGTATGGTTTCTCTAATTCTCCCCTGACTTACAGTGGATTTTCCTGTTCTGGTTTTCCCCCAGGTTGTAGCAGATACCAATATAAGCGCCATAGCAACTCAGCTTGAACACATGTCTCCAAGCTACCACCTTGGTTCTCCCACCGCTGAACACCACCCAGAAGACACAGAGTGAGTATTCTAGGTGCAGAGTGCCTATTCTATGTATGGGCAAGGCTCAGTGAGACCTTTTCCAGAAACTAGAGTGTGCTCTCTAAAGAAGAGGGGGAGGTATGCATTACCTTTTCTAACTCCTGGAGAATCTCCTCCAGGAACGCACCAAGGTTTCCTGATTTCTCACCAGGCTTGGTTCCAGGTAGAACTTCTAAGAGAGGGCCTGTGCACACACTGATCCGGTCACTTTGACACAGTGCCTTCTTCCTTAACAAATCACAGATTGACCCCCAGGGGTACCCTGCTTTATTATGCAGGGACTGTGTTTTCTAAGCTAAAATCTTGTTCTGAGAGTAATCCTAGTGCTATACTTGCTGGCATTCTTCATTGAAAACAGTCTTTGCCGTTAACGAAAGCATTGGTTCTCATGGGCATATTAAATGTCTAAGGAGCATTTTTAAAATGGCTAATTTCTCCGGCTCCGTTCTCAGAGATTCTGATGAGGGGTTCTACAGCGGGTTCCCCAGGACAGCTTTGCTACAGGTGGACAGAGGGTCTGTACTTTCAGAAATGCTGCCTAAACTTACGCCTCTCAGAACCGCCAGTACCTGGTTGCCAGTACGTGCTCCATAAAGGCTTGTTGACGGATCTGAATGTTTCACTGGAAAGCTCTGATGATCACATACATTTCGAATTTTCTCCTGGTACTTTCAGCTTAAATCATACCTTTGAGTTTGTTTTTCTTGAGGAAAGAATATTAAACTTAAGTTCATTTTAGTTTTTTCTCATTATGAAAGGAATAAATGCATGCTATTAAAACATGATAGATACACCCCTGGGGCTAATAATACATTATATGTTAATAAGAAATGTTTAAAAATGTTAAATATGACAAATACATAAAATTAAGATATTTTCAAGTTACAGTGGCCCTATTCTGGGGTTGGGGGGGAGGATCAGGACCCTATTATAGAAGTGTAGTTATGTACCTTTAGCATCCTTTGATGTCCCTATGGAAATGCAGAGCTGCCCTTGTGATCTTGGTTCCTTTGCTAGGAACCACAGCTCCTGGCAAGTTGGGAATCACTACCATAAAAGAATCTATAAATTATTTAGAATCCAACAACTGTTAACATTCAGAGATTTTTTTTTTATCGGTCTTCTATATGAAAGTAAATTAAAACAAATTGAAAATGTGAGATAAAGGGAGGCAAGCTCCCATCTGATGTTGCCAACTGAGGAGTAGAGTTACGTCCCCCCATCTCCCGAAAACAGGTCTCTAATTGTGAAGCAGTACAGTTATGACAGTCTCTAATGATTTGGTGGCTCCCAGTGCCCAGCTGTAAAACAATGACTTTGGACGTCTAGATTCCTATTTTAGTATCCTTAGAAACAGGGGCTGTGTTTGGAGGAGGAACCATGAATCCTATTCATGTCTGCCCAGTGGGCCACTACTGAGAGTACTTACAAGGCCATGAAGTCCTGAAATGGGGAGCCTTATTCATGACTTCATTACCATGTGGCCATAAGGGATAATTCATCATTATTTCAACATGTCTGTATTGAGCACCTTTCAAAGGCTAGATACTGTGCAAGTACTGGGTTCTGAGGATTCAAACTTAAAAACCACAGGTTATTGCATTGCCCCAGTCCTCAAGGAATTGGGGAGAATCGTGAAAACAGGCCCCTAAATCCACATTTGTAAGAGTTGATAAGTATAGGGGAGCTAAGTTCCCTGAGAAAGTTAAGTAAGCACGGGGTCCTGTGAAACCATGGAGGTGGGGGCACAACTCTATTAGGGTGTGTCCTTGAAGACACAGGTGCTTCTGCTTAGTTTTAAAAGAATTGTAATAAGCAAGAGGGCATTCAGAAGAGTTAACGATTTATAGGACATAAACGTTCAGCAGTTACTGTGGATGGCCTGCTGTAAACAACCAGTAAGTACATCAACAAACAACCAGTATCGGTGTGGCAACTGAAAATCCACCCGGACAGAAGCCGGGCAAAACTGAGAAGAGGGAAGAATATTCTAGTTGGACAGAACAGCATATGCAAAGGTGGCTTATGTCCAGTTTTGCAAATTTCTCTAAATCCGTGACTGGCTGAGTTTGTATGACATGGCTCTGCCTCTCAGATGTGCACGTTGCCACAAACCAAGTGAGGCGACCAGCATGTAATATGAAAACTCCACAAGTAAGACGGCAGGCACCGGCATCCTGGGGTTCCTTTTGGTTTTTACCCTTTGGACAAGGGCATCTGGGAATAAGAAATTGGCATTCACTAAGCTGAAACTACTTGAGCCTGCATAGATCATTTAATTTTTAGCCATGTTATTTCTAAGAGAGAAGACTTCCACACTGGACAAAACTTTGAAAATCTAAATTACCCGTTGGAAACAGACTGTCTTTATCCATTTTGCTTCTCCTTGGTTCCTCTCTTTTCTCCTGGATTTCACTTCTCACGGACGCAGTCATGATCCTGATTTTGTGACAAGCACACTCCAGACAGCTGGGAACACTCAGATGACAGTGACTTAAGGAGTTCGTAGTCCGGTAGAGCAGAAAGACAGCTCAGCAGTCCCGCCCCAGTACAGCGAGGGCGCCGTGGATACCTGGCCCCACTGCAGAGGGGCACAAAGGAGGATCAGCTGACTCTCTCAAGGGAAAGCATCACCTTGGAGGGGGGCTTTGAAGACTGAGCTCCCACCCTGGGTCCCCTAGCAGGAAGTGGAGGGCGAGGAGTGTGAGGCTACTGGGGCAGAAAAGGAGCAGCAGCGTACTGAGCTCTCAGGCTGGGGTCACCTGTCCTACATAGAAGCCCACCTACGGAGTGGTGGTCTGCCACTGAGCTAAGCGGTCCCCCACCTCTCCGTCCCCACACATTCTTTAAGGATATAAAGACAGTCTCGGGGCACAGTGGGTTAAAGCCTCTGCCTTCAGCTCAGGTCATGATCCCAGGGTCCTGGGATTGAGCCCCACGTCGGGCTTTCTGCTCCACGGGGAGCCTTGCTTCCTCCTCTCTCTCTGCCTACTTGTGATCTCTGTCTGTCAAATAAATAAACAAAGTCTTAAAAAAAATAAAGACAGTCTCATTCAGCTTTAAACAGTGAGTGTCGAAGTTAAAAACGAAGCATATGGAAGGGTGTTGTGACAACCTCTGGATCGTGACTTTATTTTTCATTAAAAAATAGTGCGTTTTATGAAAGAGAAACCCCTAAAACCTCAAGTCATTAAAGACGTACTACTCATCGGTCCCGCGTGACATGGGAAATGTAAAAAGTACATTTCTAGATTGCTTTCTTGAGAGTTCCGATTTCAGAAACTGGCCTTCATATTTCTCAGTGTGAAAGTCTCTCTCAAATCTGTGTTCTTCCATTAAAATGAAATTCCCTCTCAGTATCTATTCTCGAATTAAACAGCGTGCATTGTGTTTTCAGAACACCTCCACCTAAGATTATTACTTTGGAGAAAGGCTCTGAAGGATTGGGGTTTAGTATTGTAGGGGGTTATGGAAGTCCCCATGGAGACCTGCCAATTTATGTCAAGACTATATTTGCAAAGGTATTTTTTTCCTTTTTACTGTACTTTTTTTTTTTTAAACGTAGGTGAGATTTTTTTTAAGTGCTTTGTTTTGCTTACTTGTAGGTATAGCTGGGTGTGTGCTTATATGCTTTTCATTTTAAACTTGTGTAGGACATTTCCACACCAGACTAGTGAAGGAAGAGTCCTCTTGTAAGAGTGGAGTTCCAGGAAATGTCATTTTCTTTGACCCTATTACAAAAGTAGATCTTAAAGAGTGTCTTCTTTCAAGAACGCAACATAAGGAGCAGTGCCGCACTGTTTGGAAGCTGGCCTTGGAAGTATTATTCTGGGCTAGTACAAAAGTTTGGCTTTCTCCTTCAAGAAAAGATGGCAGCAGAAGGCTGTGGTGGAAAGCTCTGTATGAGCCTTGGGTCAGTGCTTCATTAATGGCCGTCCATCACCAATAAACTCAGGATGCATTAGCTGAAGTTGCTCTCTCTGTTCCAGTCCTCTGCTAAAGTACTTGCAGGATCAGGGCACTAAATTAGACTCCAGCTGGGTAATAGTGCTCTTTAGGAACTAAATAAACCAATACATCCTTGACACGTAGGTCACAGTGTACATTCCTACTGCTGCCTCTAGATGGCTCTTGGATAGGTTTTTATTAGTATTAGTATTACTATTAGTATTAGTATTTAAGTTTATTCATTTAAGTTATCTCTACACCCATTGTGGGGTTTGAACCCACAACCCCAAGATCAAGAATCGCACGCTCTTCCAACTAAGCCATCCAGGAGCCCCTTAGATAAGTTATTTTTAACTTTATTGTGATTTTTTAAAATTGGAATCCAATTTTACTCTAAATTTTTAAGATTTCTGAAAAGGACTTAGTATTGACAGCACGACTTTATTCTTCATGGGTTTTATCACAGTCATTTGTTTATTAAGTGACCCAGTGGCCTCCTACTGCTTTTTCCTAAGGAAATAAAGGTCTTCGAGAGAAGAAATAATATAGCTACTCCTTCTAGAAAGCTCCATTATACACTAAATAACAAGTGCAGCTCTTATCACTGGTTAATTGAACCTAACCATGACCGGACATAATCCTTAAGTCACTTGGCATTTGCTTTCGGAACATGTTAGGGAGCTACAGATTTACCCACCTGTTTCCAATTTGTTAGGGTGCCTGTTAGGAAGATGTGTGATTCCCAAACCACATATCTGTTGACCTGGCTGTGGGCGAAAGGGGAGAAGGAGGGCAGATCAGAAACATTCTGGATAGCGGCACTGCCCCAGTCTGATAATTCCCAAGGTAGTAAGCTACCTACAGACCCTCCTTTTCCTAAGACAACACCATAAGTAGTTGTGATAATTATTCTTTGAGGAACTATTATACTTTGGTTTTAAAAGAGCCAGCTATGTAGATAAGAATAGTGAAAAACACATTCTCCGTCCCTGCATTGGCCTCTCTAAAACCCTTCCAGAATGTCTGTAAAGCCCTCCTCACTACATAACTGTAGGTGGGTCTGCTATGTTCAAACAGAGGACTGGTTAGTTTCTCAGGCCTTTTGGCCTGCAGCCCAGACTTAGCAGTCACCCCAGCAGTACCCATCTAGACAACCAATAGACTGTGGGACCAGAGCCAGGTACCTTTGGTCAGGTCAGCAGAACATACAACTGAGGATGAAGTGGCCGTGCCTGGCTGGTGGGTTTTTGAAAAGAAACCACCATCAGATCACGGTGGGACAAGGTAGTGGGGCCAATGAATGCACAGAAGATCCCACAGAATCTCTTTTCAAAGGTCCTCCTTGACAGTGCTCATTTAGAAAGCACCTCTGCAGGTGATAACCTGAGAGGAAATATGGGACATCCTTGATATGTTTTATTTTTTAAGGAACGGACCTTTGTTTGTAAAGTGAGGCACACTTAAAAATGAAAAGCTCGAATTAAAAAAAAAGTTCTAAAGCCCTAGCCAATGGCCTACTTGTTCAGTCTCAATTAAAAGAACATTCCACTGCAAACAATTACTATCATTATTTTTAGATAGTTCCATAGCATTTATTATAATATGTCCTTTGATGACTTTTTTTTTTTTCATTTGTTTGAGTGAACTAGTATATCCAAATTTGTCAGTTTTCTTTAGAGAATCAATAAACCAAAACCTGGCAAAAGTTCTTTGGGTGTTTTTGGGTTTTTTTTTAATGGTGAGATCCTTCTAAAAATGAATTTTGACATTAAGCTAAACATTTCCTCATAAGAATTTAGAGGGGGTAAGAAATATAGCTATATGTTTTTACACGCTTTTAAACAACAAACATTTTTTTAAAAGTTCATTTATTTAAGTAATCTCCACACCCCAATGCAGGGCTCAAAGCCATGACCCCAAGATCCAGAGGTTCATGCTCCACAGGCTGAGCCAGCCAGGCACCCAACAACAATCATTTATTCTTAGAAATGTTTGTCTTCTCAAGTTTCTGGATCTCAGATGCCCACAGGGTGTGGGTTTTTATGGGACCCTTGTCCCTAAGCTTCTTTTAAAAATTCTGTTGCTCAACTAAGAAATTAATTTGGCCCATTGAGGTCTTTTTTCCCCTCCAGAAATAAGAAACATGACAGGCACTTTGAATGTGTAGGACTTTGGGGACTCCGTCTGATTAACGGGCTGTCAGAACCTTCCATTTTCTTTCAGGTGTTTGGTTGGAAACTTCAAAGTCAAAGCCAAGTTCAGGTCTTAGTCTTTCCAGCAGCCATCCAGATTTCACCATTAGCCAACAAGAAATTGGCCTAACGACTACAACAATCCCGAACATTTAGGGAACAGCTTTTCAGAGACTGCGAAATCTGAAAACATGAGCTCGATCACCATGAGAGTTCATTTTTTTATGCTACCACCATTATTGAGTAAATACCATGTGCCATACATTCACTCCTTAGAACAGGCTGAGCCAGGCCTGAGCCAGCTAGGGGCCCTGAGGCCACACTTACTTTTGACAGATCACGTCAGTGCTGCTATCTCAGTAATGCAATAGGAACCCTATAGAATGATGGCATTGGGAACAAGACTAACACCAGATTCAGTTCTACCTTTGCCAGTATATTACATATTTGTGAATATGACATTCAAATTCCCTTCTGTTCTGAATATTGAAATAAGGTCCTACCTGTATTAAAAGAAACGTGAATGTTAGTACATTTCTACTAGTATGTTACCTAAACAGTGCATAATTATGGTTACTATTCAACCATTATTCAAATAACACATCCCACATTCTTAATTTTCCTGGTTTAAAAACATTACCTAGCAATAACTTTAACTGGTAGTTTGCAAAGTTGCTCTTTTCATAAGCACACCATAATGTTAATATTATTTGTGAACTGCTTGATCCTGGATTAAACTGGAATGTCTCTTGTTCGTAGGGAGCAGCTGCAGACGACGGCCGGTTGAAGCGAGGCGATCAGATTTTAGCTGTTAATGGCGAGACGCTGGAATGTGTTACTCATGAGCAAGCTGTGGCCATTCTAAAACGCCAGAAAGGGACTGTAATCTTAACTGTGCTGTCCTGAGCCTCGGGTCCTAATCACAAGATAGATGCTGTAGAATATCCATAGAAAGATGAAGCTTTGAGGATAAAAAGCAGCCTCCACTAGAATTCACCTTCATTTATCACCTCACCCTCCTGGCTCGGGCGGGAGAGGTGGCTAGATTTCACATGAACTTCCCAAACCAACCATCGACTCTTGGTGAGGTAAATTTCTAGAACTGAACAAGTCTTACCTGATTTGCATCTCACATCCATGTTTAGCCACTAGTAGTAACTGGTTCTGATTATCTCTGCTGAACCCGAAGTGAACCACCTCTCATCCCTGTGCCCTTCTCTGCCCGTCCCCACTCACTCAGAGGCTTAACAGCAAGCTCACATGTTTTCTGACGAACAGACACAAATGTTAACCAACTTGTCATCTCACTCGTGATTTATTCATGCTAATTGTCTCTTCAAGTATGCCAGAAAACATTAGGAGTGTAATTAACTTACCACTGCTCCCCATGATGAGACACCCTGTTCTCCTATGGGAAATTATTGTGCTCTTTTCTGCACGACTTAGAGTCAGATAAGTCTCAAATTTGTTTCTCTGGGTAGATCTTTATAAGCTAGTCATTGATGATTATGATGAGTCAATTTGCAGACTGTAATCTGAAAATTCCGGAAGACTTTCTGATTGTTTTCTTGGCTACATAAATGTGTACCACTGAGCAAACGCACCTTATTCTCCACGGGAACAATTAGCATCAACGTTCTGAATTCTAACCATGCTAGGTTATATTCAGGTCCAGGAAGTTCAGCTGAAGTTAATGGCATCTCAGCAGGCAGGCATCATTGCCTCTCTTCAGTCTTCAGACAAGGAGATAGAAGCCCCAGAACCAGTCTGCAGAGATCAGTAAGTTTTCCCTCAGGTTAGACCAGGTGTGGGTGGCCTTGGACTTGTGCAAAAGCAGAGTGACAGATTTAAATATCCTTCCCCTTGGCTCCATACCAGTCATTCTAGCAGCACAAACTGTAGGAACAAAAGGATAGAACAACATACTTAGCCACAAAGTGACCGTGGAAATGAACTCAGCCTAAGAATCAGTGAGGGCTACTTGGCTGATGTTTCCTGATCTTTAGGAAAACCCCCCATTTGCTAAAGTTTTGTGTGCTAAGAAAGCAATTGCTGCAGAGAATACAAAAAATACCTTTAAAGTTGAATAGGGGCATTCTTATTTGGGTATTAGCAGGAAAATGGGGGAAGATGCTTATCAGTGAATGTTATAGGTTCTTCTGTTTTAAAAAAAAAAAAAAAAAGGTACCGTGAGAGATGAGTACCAGGCTCAGTAATAGAAGTAGTTTAGCATCTTCGAACTAAAACACAATGCTGCAAACGGTTCACTGTCACTATCCGAATGGAATGGACTCTGATTTTAAAATGTTATTTAATAATTACAGATTTTAATTAAGAATTACCTTCGAGTAGACATCATCACAAAGTGCATTAACTCTCGTCGGAATATTTTGTGGCTATTCCAAAGTATAGAGTGCCTAAATGCTACGTTGAAAATGTCTTTCGTGGCTGGTGTTAAGTTTTCTGAAGTTACATACGGCTTTTCGGAATGTCTGATGTAGTCACCATGTGCAGTCTTGTTAGGGTCTTATCTTTCATTGCATGAGAAGCTTTCAGCCTTAGAAGTTCTAGGATAATTGTACCTGCAGGAACACCTGAGGCAACGTAGAAGAAGGGAAGCCCAAATAAAACTTGAAAATGCACCTTAAAAAGAAAAAGCATGTGTGTGTGCATATGCTCACACGTGGGTATACACACTCACATGCATAAGACTTCATATATGACTTTTGAAATGTGATTCTGCTTGATTTTGATGGAATGCCATTAAATATCGATTTTGAAATAGCACCCTGCTGTCCTGTTTCATACACATTATCCTCTTAGGTCACGCCCCTGAAAGTCTCCCGATAATTGTGCTTTATAGTCCTTGCTGCAGTAAATTGACCAGTATTTTCATCCCTGGTTCTGTCTCTGCTGCACGACTACTTAATAATTGCCTTGCCAAAAATGCTTTTTTTCATCAGAACTTAAAAGCTAAGAGGACACAAAAGACGGGAATTTGAAAAGAGCTGTTGTCTCATAGCCACATGTATGGTTTTGGCCTCATCATTTGGAAAATCTAAGTATTGTGATTGGAGTGAGCATGAAAGGGAAGTCAATCCGGAAAAACAGAACTGCCGAATGTATGTGTAAGATGTTTCCAAAGAGTCTAAGTAAGTGTAGTTGCCTGAAGGGCAAATGGAATCTTACAATATATGAAAAACTGTAATTTCTACATTTGGTTTGGTTTTTTTTTCTTTAGCCATTTTGTTCCCTAATTTGAGGGGTGTGGGTGTGGACTCCAACTTCTCACAAAGTTTTCCAGTCCTGTTAAAATCTGGGCTGCATTCATGGCTGTCTTGCAGTAAGTGTGTTGCAGCATTAGAACAGGTGCTTTATAAAAGAGCCAGTGTAGTAGTCTAGAGGGCAAGTCTTGGCAACCCCCTGAGTTCGAATCCTGACTCACCAGCCTTGTGACTTTGGCCGAGTTATTTAAATTATCCCTTGCTTTAGTTTCTTCAGTTAGAAAAGGGTGGAGGTGGGTGGTTTCTCAGTACTAGCATTGAGTACAGTCCACGTAGAATCCTTAGTACAGTGCCTGGCTCGTAGTGAAGTATTACTTCAACAAACATGAGCAATAAACCCTTTTCCCCAGGCGCCTGGGTGGCTCAGTCAGTTAGGTGTCTGCCTTCGGCTCAGGTCACGATCCCAGAGTCCAGGGATCAAGTCCCACTTCAGGCTCCCTGCTTGTCATAATTATGGTTATCCTTCTGCTTCACCTCCTGCTTTTTTGTGCTCTCTCTCTCTCAAATTAAAAAAAAAAAAAAAAAAAGACTTTTCCTATATGTGGAAGTGGCTTGAAATTAGACATTCATGTTGATGATTTGTGGTTTCAAACAGTAATGACCTTGAAAAAACATATTTCTGAGGGGGGCTTAGCTCAGAACTCTTGCCCAGAATCTGCAGCCTGGGTCACTGATTATCCTGGCGTGAGCTTGAGGAGCTAGAGCCTGTGCCATCAAGAAGTCAGAACTGAACTGGAACCAGGGCCCCCAGCATCAGCCACACCACTGGGATAGGGAGTAACGCCCACTCCATAGGCCTGCCCACTCCATAGGCCTGCGCTCCTATCTCTGGAAGCCGGCAAGGCGCTTCAAGTACCATCAACCCTGTGGTGAGGAATTTTAACCTCTACAAACCTTAATTCCATGAATTTGGAATTGCAAACTGCTGTTCTTTTAACCCGGCCACACACTTTCTGCCCCTCTGTTATCTAAGAAGTCAGCCTATCCCACCAGATGATGAGCTTCTTTGAAAACAGATTAGGTCAGATTCATCTTAGATGTTAATTCCATCCCGTATGCTTTCCAAATACTGCACGTGGGGCGCCTGGGTGACTCAGTCGTTGAGTGTCTGCCTTCCACTCGGGTCATGATCCCAGGATCCTGGGATGGAGCCCTGCATCAGGTTCCCTGCTCAGCGGGAAGCCTGCTTCTCCCTCTCCCACTCCTGCTTGTGCTCCCTCTCTCAATGTCTCTCTCTCTCTGTCAAATAAATAAATAAAATCTTAAAAAAAAATACTATATGTCCCATCCTTAGAAGTTTTATTTGGGACACACACACACACACGTTTCATTTCCTTCATGTTCATGTTTTCCTTTACATCAGGGGTCAGCGAACGTGTGGTGTAAAGACTCAGAAAATAAATATCTTAGGCTTTGCAGCCCTTTGCAATCTTTATCGCTACTCCATTTTGCCATTGTAGCATGGAAGCTGCCATAGACAATACAGAAATGAATGAGCTTGGCTGTGTTCCAGTAAAGCTTTATTTACAAACACAGCAGAGGGCCAAATTTGGCTTATAGGCCCTGTGTACTTGGCCCCTTCATATATCTGAGCATATTTTAAGACTCAGAGTAGTAGTTTAAGATCCTTGTCTGTTACAGTATCCCATCATGTTTGACATTCCTGGGGCTGTTTCTTATCTACTTTTGGGTGGGTCTTATTTCTCTGCTTTTTTGCATGTCTGATTTTTATCGGATGCCAAACATTGTAAAATTTACGTTTTGGGGTGGCGGATTTTGTTGTCTTCCTTTAAATAGCCGTGGACTGTTCTTACCCACAGTTCCAGTTGCTTGTGATCAGTCGGATCCTTTCAGGTGTTGTTTATAAACTTTCCTAGGGGGGTCTAATGTACCTTTAGTTTAGGTCTAAGCTTGCCCTGTTGATATTAAGGATTTATCCTGGAAATTCCACCCAATGCTGGTATATTATGAGGTCTTTCCATTCTGAACATTGGAAACTATTCACAGCCCTGCCTCAACTCCAGGTGTTTCTTTGCTGGCCTTGAGGAGTTCCCTCCCCTGCACGTGCAGGTTTGTACTCCAGCCAAGGCTAAGGGGGTCCCTCTGCAGGTCCCTGTAGCTCTGTCTCTATGAAGTTCCTACTGTCCAGGCCTCTGCCTTACAAATTCTAGCCATCATGGCCTCCCTGAACTTTGATCTCTCCTGCACCAATGGAGTCTATACAGTTTCCCCTTCCCGAGCTGTGGCCGGGATGGTGCCTCGTGGCAGGACACAGGGACAAGTTGTGGACCTTGTTTCCCTTCCTTCAGGGACAAAAATTCTGTGCTGCCTGTTACCTGATACCAAAAACTGTTGTTTCATCTATGACGTCCACTTTTCCAGGTATTTACTACAGCAGGAAGATAATTCCCATAGCACTTAATTCTTCATGGACAAAAGCAAAAGCCCTTCAGCCCTTTATCCTTGATCTAATGAAAGGGATATAAGATGCTGATGGCAATCAGGTTCTCATAACATGATGATTCAGTTTTCTGTAAGCATCTTGCTCTTAAAAGAAGCACTATACCAGTAAGCCCCTTGGTTTCTCCCAGCTTCTGGAATCAACTCCAACCTTGGGTTCCTTCCCACAGCCACACCTGCCCACATGACCTAGGGAGGCGATCTCTTTTCAGGAACACACTTTTTTTTATCAGGATTAGAACTACCCAGCCTCATCTTGGGAGCTCAGGCAACATTGCC